GGATTTCGCTAAAAATAAATAAATGTAAACAATACAAAATTTGCAGGGTTCTCCAATCTTATTATTTTTTTAAAAAAAAAACAATAATACTTAGATCCCGGGATGGGCCGTTTAGTAAATTTCACGGTCCTACCTAAAAGTATAATAACGCGTAGTCTTTTGGCGCATATTTAATAAGGTTACTTTCTTAAATATGGGTGTGCATTTATGTAGCCCAAATCCCGATCTTGACGAAGTCAAAACGCGTCAACAAATCACGTGTACACTGGTTGTGACGTGGTTCGAGATGCGTTTTCACGACGTTGCAATTCTTGTATAAAATAATAATAAGAATAATGATAAAAGCGGTTTAATGCTAAGTTGGCATATAAGTTCTTAATTGTTAAAAAAAAATCAGATAATCAAGCCAAATATGACAGTTGAGCGACCGTGCTAGAACCACGGAACTCGGGAATGCCTAACACCTTCTCCCGGGTTAACAGAATTCCTTATCCGGATTTCTGGTACGCAGACTGTAATATGGAGTCATTTTTTTCCTCGATTCGGGATTAAAATTGGTGACTTGGTACACCCTAAATCTCCCAAGTGGCGACTCTGAAATAAATAAACAAATCCCGTTTTGATTGTCCTTTAATTGGAAAAAACTCTTACGCCCCTCGCGGGGGCGGAAAAAGGAGGTGTGACATCCTACATAATACAAACCATTCAATATCAAATTTAAGCTCATATCTTATACAATTCTTCGTTTAGACATTTAAGCAAACAACATGCGGGCATGAATTTGTAGACTCTTTTGTAGTTTAATTTTCCCGCAACACACCTCCAAATTTTTACTTTACTACATATCCTCATCGACACGATTCCATCCATGTATTCATAGATCCAAACAACACAATAAAACCATATAGAACAGCCCCAACAATCAAGTCATATTAAGAGAGGTTTCTTAAAAAAATCAAGAACATTTCTATAGAGGTTTCAACTATTCCTTAGGAATTCTTATGGTAGAAGTTTACAAAGATCAAAGAGGAATTTAAATCATACCTTATGTGACAAAAATTACTTTAAATTCGAGATTACTTCAAGGCGAAGTCTTCCTACGAAAAGTAAAACACCGAAGAATTCATGATTCCAAAGTTACCATGGTGTTCTCCATCTTGAGGATAACTAAATTGCTGTTATGATTGACTAGATGGATGGGAGGAGTTTGAGAGGAATTCCTAGGTTTTAGGTTCTGTTTTTGAGAGGATAAAACGCAGGGGTTATGTTTTAAATTGACTTAAATAAAAAAAACTTTTAACTAAGACCGACTAAGCATAGTGCTCCCGTAGCAGTGTGCACCCATGTACGAAAATGTTAATATCTCTCTACTCCGAAGTCGTATTAACAAAAAGATTGTTGCATTGGAAACTAGACTTATAGACCTTCGATTCGTTGGGTAGAACACACTATAAATCTGTATATTAAGAGGAAAGCTCATCAACATTTTATCAAAATTTCAGTGAAATTTAAAACCCGTAACTTGCGGAGATCTTTGTTTACTTTTTAATCACAACTCGAATGATTTCCAATCTTAACGTATAACTATTCCATCATTTAATTATCTCATAGAAATTATCTTCCTATCGAATTATCCCCTTTACGGCATGATAACGCCGAATACACAAGGTGTAACATTCTCCCCTCCTTAAGAACATTCGTCCTTGAAGGTTAGCGGTTAACCTAACTTTTGAAAAAAAAAGTTAAAATTTTTGCCAGAGTTTCCCCTCTAAACTGGACTATCCAAAACCTGCCATCAGCCCAAACATACATATCCAAGGCCACACAGGGCTACACATCATCATAATAACATCAACTTGGCCCCACACGACCATTTACTTATACAATAATGATAATAAGAAGGTTAGCCATAACTTAATTACCTCAGCTATCACTGGTTGATATCTTTGCAACACCTTCCATATTTGTCTCAAGCATATCACCTACAAAGTATGTATAGATTAAGGTCGAAAGGTAAAATAGTACTAAAAGGATTGTATCACACAAGTCTTGATATAAACCTGAAGACTCAAATAAATGAGGGTATTTGGACTTTATGTCCTCCTCGGCCTCCTATGTCATTTCCTCTACATTATTGTTCCTCCAAAGTACTTTTACTAATGCTACCTCTTTTGTCTGTAGCTTACGGATTTGACAGTCAAGAATGGCAATAGGTATTTCTTCATATGACAAGTCCTCGGTAACTTCAATATCCTCAATAGGGCTGGTGCAAGAAGGATCACCTAAGAATTTGCGAAGCATGGAAACGTGAAATACTGGATGGATTGCGTCTAATTCCGGTGGCAAGTCAAGTTTGTAGGCTACCTGCACAATTCTCTAAACAATCTGATATGGCCTGACATATCTAGGGCTGAGTTTTCCCTTCTTGACAAATCTCATTACACCCTTCATAGGCGACACTTTCAAGAATACCCAGTCTCCTACAGCAAATTCCAAGTCTCGACGTCAGTTATCTAAATATGATTTCTGTCGACTTTGAGCTGTATGCAACCTTTCCTGGATCAACTTTACCTTTTCTACGGCTTGCTGCACCAATTCGGGTCCTAGCATCTTTGTCTCGCCAACATCAAACCAACCAATAGGAGATCTGCATTTCCTCCCATATAGTGCCTCATAAGGTGCCATCTGAATACCGACGTGATAACTGTTGTTGTAGGCAAACTCAATAAGCGGTAAATGATCTTTCCAACTTCCCTTGAAGTCTAAGATACAAGATCACAATATATCTTCGAGCGTCTGAATAATGCATTCAGCTTGTCCGTCGGTCTGCGGATGAAATGCTATACTAAGGTTAACAAGAGTACCCAAACCTTCTTGAAAAGACCTCCAGAAATTAGCTGTAAATTGGGCACCTCTATAAGATATAATAGAAAGTGGAACTCCATGTAGCCGAACTATTTCTTTGATATACAGTCTCACATAGTCTTCAGCTGAATAGGTGGTCCTAACTAGGAGAAAGTGAGCTGATTTCGTTAGCCTATCCACAATGACCCAAATAGAATTGAACTTCCGGTGAGAATTGGGAAATCCTATAATGAAATCCATATTAATCGATTCCCATTTCCAAGCTGGAATCCAATATTTTGAAGCAACCCTCCCGATTTCTGGTGTTCAGATTTAACCTGCTGGTAGTTGGGACACTGAGCCACAAATGTGGCTATATCTTTCTTCATGTCGTTCCACCAGTATAACTGATGAAGATCATGATACATTTTTGAACCAGGATGAACTGAGTATCGAGACTGGTGCATCTCTGTCATAATTTGCTTACGAAGCTCCCCAATATTAGGTACACACCATCGACCCTTATATTTTAGAATTCCATCATCAGATTGCTCGAACAACTGCTTCTTCTGAAAAGGGATGCTCTCTTTAATCTTGACTAACTCCGGATCCTCAAATTGATGCATTTCTACCTCAGCTATCAGTGATGACCCCGCAATATTTTGGACTACTACACCCTGGTCACTTGTATCATGTAGCCGCACACTCAGGTTAGCCAATCGATATATCTCCTTAGTCATTTCTAATTTCCCAACTTCTACATGCTTCAAACTGCCCATGAAATTGCAAATTAATGCATCAACTACCACATTCGCTTTGCTTGGATGGTACAAAATATCTATATCATAGTCCTTCAGCAATTCAAGCCACCTCCTTTGTCTCAAGTTCAACTCTTTATGCTTAAATATATATTGTAAACTTTTGTGATCTGTATAGATATCCACATGAACACCATAAAGATAATGACGCCATATTTTCAAGGCAAATATAACGGCTGCTAACTCAATATCATGAGTCGGATAATTGTGTTCGTGCTTCCACAACTGCCTCGAAGCATATGCAATAACTTTGCCATGCTGCATTAGAACACATCCCAATCCAACCCTAGATGCATCATAATATGCCACATAACCTTCAGATCTCTCAGGATTGCTAGAACAGGTGTTGACGTTAAGTGTTTCTTCAACTCATGAAAGCTCCTTTCATAGGCATCAGACTATTGGAACTTAACGGCTTTGTGTGTCAATTTTGTCATGGGAGCAACAATAGAAGAGAAGTTCTCCACAAATCTCCGATAATAACCAGCTAAGCCCAAGAAACTACAAACTTCCGCATGAGTTGTGGGTCTAGGCCAATATTGTACTGCTTTAATTTTTTGACCATCTACCTTAATACCTTCATCGGAAATGATATGCCCAAGAAAAGCCACTAAATTCAACCAGAACTCACATTTGGAGAATTTAGCATATAATTTCCAATTTTTCAAAGTCTGAAACACCACACGCAAATGATCCTCATGTTTTGCTTCTGATCGAGAATATATCAGAATATCATCAATGAAAACAATGACAAAGATATCTAGAAAAATCTTGAAAACCCGATTCATTAAATCCATAAAAGCTGATGGCGCATTAGTAAGTCCGAAAGACATTACAAGGAATTCATAATGGCCATATCTAATCCGGAAAGACATTTTTGGAATATCTCTCTCCTTAACTTGCAACTGGTGATAACCGGATCGAAGGTCAATCTTTGAGAAATACTTGGCACCTTGCAACTGATCAAAGAAATCATCAATTCTGGGTAAGGGGTACTTGTTCTTGATAGTCACTTTGTTAAGCTGATGATAGTCAATATACATTCTTAACGAACCGTCCTTCTTACAAACAAACAATACTGGTGCACCTCAGGGAGAAGTACTGGGCCTGATAAAACCCTTATCCAGAAGATCCTTCAACTAAGCTTTCAATTCTTTTAACTCAGCAGGAGCCATTATGTATGGAGGAATAGATATTGACTGAGTATCTGGAAGCACATCGATAGCAAAGTAGATTTCTCTTTCGGGAGAAAGACCAGGAAATTCATTCACGACGGGAATCGATTGAAGGGTTGGAGATTTCACCTCCATATCATGCACTCGTACCAAATGATAGATGTACCCTTTCAAAATCATCCTTTGAGCTTTAAGGTAAGAAATAAACTTCCCCTTAGGCGCTGCAGTATCACCTTTCCATTCAATAATAGGCTCACCTGGAAAATTAAACGAACAATCTTTGTCCAGCAATCTACATTGGCATAATAAGAAGCCAGCAAATCCATACCCATAATGATATCAAAATCAACCATTTCTAGCTCATGCAAATCAGCTAACGTATGGCGGTCATGAATCTTCACGTCACAACTTCGATATACCCGTCTAACTACAACAGACTCACCCATTGGCGTAGATACCTCAAATGACTTATGCAACAATTCAGGCTCTCTATCCCATTTACTAGCAATGAAGGGGGAGATATACGATAATGTAGAACCAGGATCTATAAAGGAATACATATTGATAGAAAAGACGGATACTATACCTGTAACCATATCCGGATATGACTCTAAATCTTGACGACTCGATAAAGCATATATGTGATTCTGCTGACCTCCTGAACCAGAAGCTCCAACTCTTCCCCTATCCCTGCCAGCTGATGTCTGCATACTCTACCTAGGAGGACGTACTGAAGAAGAAGAAGAAGAAAAAGCCCCTGCAAATGCCATCGGCTAAGCCATACCCCATCCGCCTATCATCGGACAATGTCTCATAATATGACTTGGCTGTCCATATGCATAACATGCATCAGAACCCTGGTGACATGGTCTAAAATGATTTCGGCCACATCGATCACATCTGGGAAACTGAAGCCTCATCTGACTGAAATCGCCTCTAAATTGTGGACCTAGGGTTCGTGAACTCTAACCTAGACCAGAATAAATGGTCTGATCACGTCGCTGTCCCTGAAACTGTGATGGCGCACTGGCTACCAGATAAGATGGACACCNATATATATATATATTTGATATGGTATTTTGAGTGAAACTTTTTTTTAAAGAAAAAAGTGGTTTGAAAAATATGATTTTATATTAATATTACTACTTTCGAAAATGCTTTAAATTATACACATAATATAAGAAAGTTTATGGGATTTTCTTTATTGTAAAGATAGAAATTATTTTCTCACAAGAAAAGAAGGTTATCTTTTTACCATTTTAAGAATTAAGTGTACGAAAATTTGTACTCTTTATATGAGATTAAGAAAATTATAAGTTGAGAAAATATATGTATTTTTACATGGATGTTTTAATAAAATAATAGTGTATGAATTTATTTTATATGGTGCCACATAACCGTAATAGTACAATGTATAAAGTGTATTAAAAATAAGTAAAAATTTAAGTAAGTTAAGATAATTCTTAATAATATGGACAATTGGTTAATTATTGATTTAAGTAGAACGTTAACAAATTAATTAAAATTTATGGATAAATAATTAAGTAAGAATCTTGGATAATTACTAAGGTACATCAATCCACGTGGGATTAGAAATACATGGCAACAAGTTGCCAACTATCTTTTTAATTAAGGAGGAGGTGGCATCCTTTTAAGATATATATACATCTTATCTCATTTTTTTGTTGAAAAATGCTATTAAGAAAATCTCCTTAATTCACAAAAATGGATATGGATTAGAACTTTAAGAACATTAATGAATGAATTCTCAAACTAGGAATTCACACGAACCCTTACAATATTATAGCAACGCGGGATTTGCAATTCTAAGGGAGCACGGTATAATCTTTCTCAAGAATGTCATACGGATTTTTTCCTATTCCGATCTTGCCATCATGAGTTTTGTCGCAATTGTCGTGTATTAGAGGGATTATCAAGAGAATCATCTCAAGTATGTTAAGGCTAATCTTTCCTTCTTTTGGCATGATCCAAGTAACGATACGTCAAAGTAATGATATTCCATAAGTGGTTCTACTCTTAGCATTTAAGGATGTCTATGTTATTCATTCCTATAAAGATAATAATTGATTGATAGAGCAATTGTTAGGAACACTATTTTGAATTTTTGTGAAAGGACTAAAAGATATTGTAGTTGAAACAATTCTATATGAAATAAAGGAAGTATTTATGTTAAAATAGATTATATGATTAAATTGTTTCCCCATCGGTTACACCATCTCATAACCCCCTTTAAAATTATTGTTTAAGTCAGAATTGAGAAAGAAGAAAAAAGTCTATCATCTGAATATCCTGGTATCTACTATCTCTCATATGACCAACTGGATAGGTTTAAATTGTCTACTCCTCGGGTATCTATAAATTTGCCATTTCATGTTAGTGGATTAAAAGGATTCAGGCTTTACAAGCACCAAGTATAACCTGGAATGAGCTAGTGATATAACATCTATTCAGTTGGACGAGCTTATAAATCTTTCACACCTCAAATTGGAATTAGTACTAAGCTACATTTTAGAAATTGAAATGTACTGTATATGTTTTCATCGAGTTATGAATAATGTATTCCTATTTTGTATATCGGATCTAGTATGGACCATGCTTTTGGATTCTACTCTTTAATTGGATTTAGTTCTAAGCCACATCTTTGAATAAGGAGACACAATATTTATTTTAGATTCTTTTGGTAAATGTATGTCCACTTTGTAAACTTAGTGTGAGTAATAAAGGTAAAATATTCTTTATGCAACTGCTGTGCCTATACGGTAGGAATGAAGGTAGTAAATATGAGTTATATTCACTAATTTAAAATAATTACTTTAAAAGCATGTCT